CGTCAGTTTTCCCAGCTGCGTTAGAGGATTGTATAGCAGATGGTTCTTGGACGCTTCGAAGCTATATATATATACATATATATGTGTGTGTAAGTTAAAACATCACAAATTCATATACACAGTGCTGTGTAAGTCAGCGTGCAAAGTATCACAGTGCTGTTCTGTTACGGTTACATATTCTCAAAGTGTTGGTGGGTTCATAAGCTTTCAATTCACAATTTGACCCTTAATGTTCCTAATTCGGATCGATTGCATACGTATATAGACTCACACGACTTGTTGAACCGACCGACAGGTTGTAACATAATCTCAGCAGAGGAATCAGAGTTTTCTTGTGGGAAAGGAAGCTGCTCGTCCATGTTGACATGTTTTTGCAGCCTCTGCTTGTGCGTTTTCTTGCCGGTGTTGGATTCTTGGTTCGGTCAGATTCTCACTGTCATCACGCTGCTTGGCAATATTGGCTTGAGTTCTGAATGTAGCACTCAAGTTCGTGGCTGCCTTTGCCGACTGCGTCGCAACGCCTTCTTCATGCAGAGTGGTTTGCGCAGAGCGGCTTGCGCAGCTTGACCAGCAGTAGGGAGGCGCAAGTAATTGCGCTGGCTTGCCCAAGCTCACATGTATTCCGCAAATTGCCCAGGCTGCAAGCGCATTTCGCGTACTACGGTTCGTGCTAAAACTTTTTGATTTGCGAGCTGCGCAAGTGTGGTTTGCGTCCTACTTTCGTAGCAAGAAGTTGCGTTGTTTGAGCTGAAGCTGCGAAAGTGCACTTCGCGAGCTATTCTCATGCTCTGTTCGGGCCAAAAGCTGCGGAGAGTGCTTCGCGTGCTACTTTCGTATTGAAGAGCTGCGGTGATGCCTCGCCGGAGCTGCGGCGAGGCACTACGTGCTCTGTTTTCCGAAAGTTTGGGTGTTCAAGCGACTTGTGCAAAGTGACTTGCGCAGAGTGACTTACACAGAGTGACTTGCGCAAAGCTAGTGACTGCCCAGAGTGGCTGGACAAAGTGATTTTCCGGAGAGCTGCTTTTTTGCACAGCACTGCTTGTGAAAGGCAACCACCAGCCACGGTATTATTCAACAAAAGAGGAAATCAATCTTAAGTGTCTGCCCCAATTGTGTCTGTTCTTTAGGCATGCTGATGCTAGAATATCACACCACAGTGAAATGACCAAGCAGGGGGGTGAGATTCTACGCGAAGCGTAGAAACTTTTCACCGGCGGTCTTGGTGCACCGTTTTTCCCCAAGCCTTGGTCAACCAATCCAAAAGAAATGGTACTGAATTCTTTGCCCCGGAAAAGGTTTCTTTAATTGCCGGTTGCATTCAACAGATTTCAACAGCTGATGCTTTAAAAAATGAGCCGGTGGTGTCCCCGCCAAGAGGGTTCTACCAGGGTCACTGGTTGTAAACTGAGGCTAGGATCTTTCAGGTAACCCAAAGTTGGTGCTTTCGGTTTGGGTAAATCAACCCCTGGTTCGGGTTAGGCAAACGGAAAGCCGGCCCTAGCCACAGCCCAACCCACATCTTTCAGGATTCCTATACCCTCCCCCCCCCGTTTGGATGTCCGAGTTGGATCGAGGTTTTTTGTTGGGCATTGTGCGGGGGACATCTTGCGCCCGGTGTTGCGCCCCGGTTTTTGCGCCGGGCCAACCTCGGTTTTTCCAGGGGCGTGTTTGGTTGGGAACTTCGCTCCAGGCCATGGGGCCGAAAGCCAGCTCCCGGGCGTGATCGATGTGCGCGAGAACTGCCTTCGCGCGCGAGAGGGAAAGATGGCTCGCTCCGACGACGAGGGGCGTTTCAGGATCAGGCGGTTTTTGGTTGTTGGCCGGGTGGTTCTGTGGTCCTGGGCATGGGAAGGCCTAGGCTCCTAGACATACAGACGTTCAAAATTTAACATCATGCATGTTAGTTGGGCCAAGAGAAAGGCGTGCCTACCTTCCACGCTTTCCCAAAGGGCAGCTCCCCCGTCTTGAGAGACAACCTGTGACCGGAATGTTGGGTTGCAACGGGAAAGCCCCCACATGGAGCCTAACTTAGGGGCCTTGGAACACACGGCTTCCTAGGAGAAACTGTCTGGATTTCACGATTGGGTGCAATAGCTTATACATCATTTCTTGATTGCTATTGGGTTGGATCTTTAGACTTTAACTTCTTGGGAAATAAAGGTGTTTTCCACTAAACCCCCAACAAGTTAAACTTTTTGCAGGGGGGTCAACAGCACCAAGATCTACGCCTTAAGACTTGGGTTCAAGCTCCACTTCAAGAAACGCTTGCCCTTGGGAAAATGGGTGAACATGTGCAAGCGGGGCGGACACTGCTCTCGTCCAGGATGTACCTGTTAAGGTCACTTGAGGGTGTGGGGGTAAAACGAGCTTACTAGGTGCCCTACTTGGCTTCCCTGTCTCAGATTTTAGGTTTGGTTTGATGGATTTGGTTTGGTTTGGGTTTGGTTTTGGTTTGGTTTGGTTTGGTTTTGGTTGTTTGGGTCTGTTTTTGGTTTTGGTTTGGTTTGGTTGGGTTTTGGTTGGTTGGGTCGTTTTTTTTTTTTTTTTTTTTTTTTTTTTTTAAATAGATAGTTTGTTTTGAATTTGCAGATCGACATTTGCCAAGGACTGCATACCAGTCACGTGTTCTGAGGCCCTTGGGCGAAGGCAAAATGACTTGCCTCCACGATGGGGCTGGCGCCTGAGAATTTGATCCGGGGTGCGCCAGGTTCTCTGCGACCTGTCGCGGACGCCTTTAAACCATAGGCGTCCTGTTAGGTTGTTTTGGTCGAAAAATCGATGGGTTTCGATTCCTGGTTGACCTGGTGGCTTAATCATCTACCAGGGCCATCTATTTCCCCTAAAAGGACGCCTATGCTTTAAACTTGATGTTGCGATAGGCAGGGAATGACCCAAGGTTTTGGGAATGAACCGGAAGGGGATTCCTTTAAAGGAGGCCGTAGGATGATGATTCCCTTGTAAATACCAACGAACAATGGTTTCAACCATGGTTTCAAAGTGGTGCAGGATTTCGTCCATCAAGAGTAGGGGATGGTTCAAAAGGGTCATTCCCTCAGTCCATACTGAGAACCAGCAAGTAAAGACACCTGGAGATGAAAATTCAGGATTTCGTTTAAGCAGCGGTGGTAGTAGCATGTCTTGGGTTGTCATCACTCCATGCCAAGGAATTGTACCAGACCTCACTTTACACAAGTTTGGCACAACGAAGTGGGTCATGCTGTGGGGATCTTGTGACTCGCAAGCTTCGCAGTAGCTGGGAAACTCGGGGGCCTTTGTTTTGACTCTGAGACTTTGGCGGAGGGATTGGTCGGATGTCGCCGGCAACATCAAACCCGGCCATGCCTCGATGATCTTGAAACGTGTCAGGTATTAGCATGGGAGCCATGAGTGGTCATGAGTTGACATGGCCAGCCCTGGATCAGGTGGGCTTGTGAACTCTCGCTTTGACCTTTCACTGTGTCATGAAGATTTGTCAGGGGAATTTAGACCTAAGCCCCAAGCCCTGAACTGAACCGGTTGATTGATCCTTATGTCCCAAGCAGCCAAGAGCGTCCAACTTCGCGCGCTCCGGGGTGGTGTGGCTCAATCAGCAGGTCATCCGAAAAATCCACATGTTGAGTGCGCAGCTTTTCCTGGATTGGTTTTGAAGGGAAACCAAAAGGAAGGCAAGTATTTGGAGACATGTACCTGCGGCATGAATTGTAAGCGCCAGACCTACAATTGATTCCAAACAATGCTACTAGGTCCCCCAGTAGTGCCCTTTTGCCCTTTTTGGGGGGAGGGTTCCCCTACTCAAATAGACTACAGAAAACAAGGGTACCTTATTCGAACCTCTCTACTGGAGGACCTAGGCTATGTGTTTACCCGCATGCTTTCGCACTTGCTTCTTTTGGGGCTTGTTGCTGCTGAAGGCTCTCTTGAGGGCTTGCAAGGTAAGCGGGGGTGCGGCCAGCACTTGTTGGGCGATCTACGCCAAAACGACTTTGTCCCAGCCATCCGGTTCCGTAGGTTGTTAGGCTTTTAGTTTAGTGGGGTGTCCCTTTAACCCAGTAAAAAGTAAGCTGTTAGCGGGGGATCTGAGGACAGCCCAGACTAGTTTCTATTCTAGAATCGGAACATGTTTTGTGTACCCCATGTGTGAGCCAAGCTCTTATTCTTGCAGCCGCTCGGTAAGGCCGGTTGGCGATGTTGTTTTCCCTATTTGCCAGCGGCGCGCGTCTTGCCTCCCCAGTAAATCACGACATGCGTATGGCATGGGGTCAATGGATGGGGTTGAAACCAGGCAAGGTACGTGCAATTAGGTAGAAGTAGACGAAACCACGCCACTTTCCCATACGAACCACAATCAAAGCCCTGGGTAGATGAAGGTTAATGTCAGTAAGGGATAGCCCCAACTATACATAGGCGCAGCCGCATTTTTAATTCTTCACATGGTTTTGGGTAGACCATGTTAGTACCAGGTGTGGATTATCACTATGACTATGGGTTTAGTCACCTCGCCCTCTTGTCCAACATGGTCCGCTTGAAAACAAAGTAGTCTTCCAGGACCCCGAAACGTCAGGTTTGATCTAAGTGGATGGAGCTTTCGCTTCCATGCCTCAGTCGAACCTTTCCCCCAACGGATCGACGTGAATGGATCCATCGGAGTCGCCGGAAGGCGCGATCTTGCCGGACATGGGCGGTGCCAACTATGATGTTAAACATCCACCGGACCAAAGCATGCACCTGGGATGGAGGTTTTCCTCTGGGATACCTACCGTAAAACGTCACTGGAAGTCTCTCCGGGGCGTTGTGCAGCCTTCAGTAAGTTGATCATCCGAGAATGCTGGGAATGCCGACGACTGCCATTTGGAAGACGACTTGCCTCTGGGAAGAGAGCCTGTTGTGCCTTGCTTGCTTGTGACCCCAGATCTTGGAGGGTTGCCCTTTGGCTTTGCCTTAGCGCAACTCCAAACAGCCTCGCTTTTGGCTTCTTGTCCCGGCAAGAACAATCCTGACACAGCTCTTGTGGCTCGAGCGGGCCATGAATCCGCCGCCGAACCTGACTGGGCAGCACTCCACCTTCACGGCCGTGCTTAAAGCCTTTGGGACGTGGGGCAAAAGCGGCAGGGGGAGTCCATGCCTTTTTTCGGGCAAACTGGAACCAGGGTGTCGATTTCTAGAATGGGGCATGAACAGATGTGGGTGGGCCCTGGGCGGAGTTTGGTTTGGCAGGAGTCAGGTTCATTTCTGTTCCTTTGTGGCTAATTAGCGCTTCGGGATTTCAAGGGATGCCAACAGCAGGAAACTCAATGAAAAGAGGAATTAACGCTCAATCATTCGCCTGATGGACACACATTTATACACATACGTATGAATACACACATACACACACACATATATATATATATATATCGGTATACCATCGTAAAGAGTTGAACGCAGGTCAAACTACGCATCGCGGCGTCACAAATCGCACCTTTTTTTTGGCTTAGAGCTTTACCACAGGAAACTGGGGGCAATCGTTTTGCGTGGGAAAGGCATGGACAACCTGTTCCAGTGTCAGCTTCATGCCCAAGTCTCCAAACCACCACTAGGTTCTTCAGTGATGCCCTTTTACCCTTTTTTGGGTCAGGGTTTCCCCTACTAAAGCAGACTACCGAAAAAAGGGTACCCTTATTCTAACCTCTCTACTGGAGGACCTAGGCCAAAACCACCAATTTGGCTTCCCTTGAAACACTTGCTGAGTTGGCTTCCTTCAAGGGAATCCCCCAAACCGGTTCATTCAACCAACGCTCGGACTCGCGAAGTCATTCCCTACTGCGCGCCAAGCAAAGGAGCAGGAAGAAGAGATCCTGGAGCTGGCTGCCGAACAGCATGAGCTGTACCGGCACTCAGTGCAGGATGGGGATGGGGGGCGGGGGTGGCGCAACGCTGCGTTAAGCGGCTGGACGTTTGTCCCAGATGAGTTTTCGTATGAGCGTTGATAGTAATCTTGTACAAGAACGGAGACCACGAGAATCCAGAAGTTACAGACCACTGCGTCCGGCGACCATCAGACGTTGCTGGATAGGGTCGCGACGCGCTGTTGCTTTTGTTCCTTGTTTGGGAGAAAGCGTCTAACCATTGATGCTTCCTTCACTAGCTAGACTCTGCATTCCATCTGACTTCAAATCAAACCCAGTTGCCCAGCGGTGCCATGTTTCCCCTTTTTTTGGGAAGGGCCTTCTCTTTAAAGTCAACCAGCCAAAAAAACGGGATGCCCTTTTTCTCCAAAGGTTACTGGGCATCTGAGTTCGAAGCTTCCACCCCTTGTTCTTCCATTGGGTTAAGAGTATTTTGTTCTGTTCCCCTGGTTTGAAAGGGGATCGATTTCACTGGACAAATATATTTTCCCATTTTTTTCCAAGGGGCTTCTCAAACGGAGGTGTCCCCAGCTCGTGTTGGACGCCAGGAAGCCTTCAGGACGTTGCACCACCAGCTGGCCCTGGAGCATTGCCACGGCACCTTTGGGCCGGCCGCGGCGCCTCGGACGGACGGTGGGCCAATCGGCCGATCGGCCCGGAAAAAAAAAACAAATATCCAACGCGGCAGGTTGCGAGGGAGCCGTTTTTTGGAGCTCAGGATGCGCTCCCACCAACTAAGATGGAAGTGCAAAAAGGCCAACTAACCAAGAGGAAAGTAGTCTTTCTACAGGGGTCTGTGCACTTCCATGTTAGCTGGTGGGAGGGTATCCAAGTTTTGCTTTTGACTCGCTCGCTGAGGTGGACTTCAAACTTTTTGGGGCTGGACCATGATAGTGGTAAACGAAAAGTTTGGACTTTGCTTGGAGCATCAACTCAGGACTTGAGGTAACAAGGGAGCAAAGCTACCAGCAGTTCTGTAAGGACGTAGTAGTGAAGGAAGTGTCCGCTGGAGGGTCCATTTTGGCTTTGGCGGGGACGAGCAAAAGATTGACACCGGGGAAACGATCGATTCCGGTTTCGAAGCCGTTCGATCTGATATTCGCCTATTGTTTCTCCAAGTTCAAACTGTACAGGGGAAGTCCAGTCGCTAAACTTTGTTCAGACTCGGTGTAAAGGCTTCTTCGCTTCATGTCACTTTTTTTCCGGCTGAGTCTGTTCTGATGTCTGTGGACGCCACTGTTGCTATTTACCGGGGGATCGATTCGTTCCCTTGGGTTTCTGACAGGCGCTGCGATGTCCTCTTTGATGTCGCCCACCCATCCACGGTAGTTTTCTAAAGTTTGTTTGTTTGTTTGTTTTTTTGGGGGGGGGGTTGAGAAATTTCAGAGGCATTTTGGGTTGGGGTCGCTAAACATGTAGCCAACCAACCAAGGAGCCGTCCAAGTGTTGGTTGCCATGGTCAACGAGCAAGCGGAGCCCCAATATCGATATAATCCTCTTCATGCGGTCTTATCATGACTTTGGGATAGATTTCAGGGGCAAAAATACAGGCTCCGGGGAATGCAATCGCGGTTTCCCACTCTGGTGGAGACTTGGCGATGATCTTTCAGCAGTGTTTAGTAGGTGTCTTCATGTCAGTCAAGGCAGAAACCGTTTCACCGGGTGTTGGGAAATACACTCATGCCTAAAAGAAACAGGGGAGCTAGGAGGTGTTCAAGCCGGGCAGATGCAACCACCTTCCCGTGTGTAGCCTTAGGTAAACCTTAGTTGGTGGTTTGAACGTCGATCAAGAGAACCCCTGGCCTGCAGGTGCAAGCAGATGGCACAATTGCCTCATTTCGGTTTAGTATGGTTTAGTCATCCCCTTCACTTACCCACATAAAGGAGTTGTAATGAGGCCTAGCTTGAGGAAGTATTCTAACCTCTCTACTGGAGGACCTAGATGGGCAAGAGGCCAGAGGCCGTTTCTCAAGGCAAGATTCGGCGATCTTCCTAAAACCTGTCCACCTCCATTGGCAGGCCGCGTGCTGGGTGAACAGTCTGCAATGGGGCCTTGGTTGATGCCTATGGCTTGTTGGCGAACTCTAGCGCCATCACTCTCCCTGGTGTTCTTTGACCTGACCTCCCAACACGAACCGGTTGCTCAACATTGGGAAACACATCTTGAAGCACCCGGGAGCACAAGGAACGCAGGCTCGTTTGATCAGTCGCATCCAAAGCAAAATTGGGGCCAGGGGCCAGGAAGAAATGTTCACTCGCTGCCGCTATTCTCCTAACGAATCAATTTTCAGTATCTGTTTTTTCCAAGATGGGTGTGTCTGTTTTTGGGGAACCTCCAAAATGGCATCAACATTCCTTTTGCTTTCTCTTCAAGACCACAAAACAGGGGTACCCTACCCTCAAAAAAGACACCCAACACACGCAGAGCCCTCGGCTTCTGGATCGGAACAAATCCGACAGGCCCCAACTCGGCCTCTTGGTAGCCTTCAGGTGGCAAAGTCTAAAATGATAGGCTTCTGTCGGGGGGCACCTTTGCCGATTTTCCTTTTTGGGGGCGGTTTGTAGTAAAAGTGCACATAAGTCATATATATATATATACATATATATATATATATTTACATATGTATATATATATATATATATTTACATATGTATATATTTACATATGTTATATATATATATATATGCACATATTTATAGAAATATACATATATATATATACACACATACATGCATGTTGTTTGTGGTGAAGGACCGCCAAGTTGTTGGGCTTGTTCGAAGGCCAGCAACGTCAGCCTGAGTCTTACCAAGGTGACCCATCAGCCGATGATATCTCTGGAAGAGACGAGGAGCGGACTCGCATGGTGAAGAATTCAGAGCCGACTCGCAAGGGGAGATCTATAGCCATTCTGGCTAGTTGGTAACGGATCTTACTTCAACCTTTTGGTTGAAGGTGGGATTTGTTCCAAAGGGGACAGAAAAAAAGAAAAACAGAGTGAATAACTTTTTGCAGCGGTCAACAGCAAGGAAGCCTAGACAGTTGAAAGCAGATGGCGAACAATCAACGGGTTGGGAGGCAGTAAGGACAAATAAAAAGCCTCCTCCTCATTATCGCACATGGGCAGCCCGCCACACTGAACCACTAATTGATTCCACCAGCTCTCTCTCATTTTCTGGGTTGTTCAAGCTTTAGTCCTAGATGGTGGTCAGTTCTTTTGTTGTAGTGCCTCACTGTTTGCTTTGGGTTTCCTTTTCAAGGCGCACCGGCTGGACATGGATCCCCTAAATGATGTCCAACGGGTCCCCAATTAAAACTCAGACCCATTGGATTCTCAGAGCCGCATGCCCAAAAGCTGTTCCCGAAACGTTCTGGAACCGCCACCGTTTGTCCACGCGGATCCCGATGTTTCGGTAGGCTTCCATTTGCTGAAATGTATTTTCTTCTTATTTTCCCCTGTTGGTTTTGAAGGGAACGATTTCACTACTGGGAATGTTCTTATTTTTCCAGGGTCTTTAACCACATGGAAGTAGGTCAACAGCAACTTGCCCCTTTTGCTCTAAGGGGTGGTTCCACTGGTGGTTCCCTTGACTAACTTGACTACCTGGAACTCGAAGCGCTGGATTTTGTTTTGAAATCAACCACTGGAGATTCGAGTTCTCAAAACGCGGGGAACCTGTGCGGGGTGGGTGAAACTCCCAGACATAATTCCCTTCAAAGCAGCTTGCTCGCCCCATCTGAATCACGCAGGCTTTTCTTTAAAAAGAAAAAGGCAAACAAACAACAAACAACAAAAAACCAATAGCATCAGCAGAGCGGGTCCAGCTGGACGCACTGGACGTTCAGGTCGCCCTTGAACTTCAGCCCGCGCGCCGTCAGCCCCGCGCTCAGCAACCACGAGACCCTGGAGTATTTGGAAAAGGTGGCTGAGCTCGAGGAGGATCAATCCGCGACCTGGCCGTGGGTCAAAACCAATGGTACCATTTTGGCGTAGGTGCACCACCCATTTTGGTCGATTTTAGTGGGGATTGGGATGTTCACTGGGGGTACGGGATTTTGACCCATGGCCACCTTGTTCCCTGAAATGCCCCAGACAAGGCAACCGATTCTCTAGTTTCATGTGCATGAGGTTTGGCGTGGATTTGGCTATGGGCGGCATGGCTATGTTGATGGGATTTGGACCCCCCGTTTGGTCGCCAGGTAAAATGGGACACCACAAGGCGCTTTGGACTTTTTGACCTATGGACCAAAATTTTCGGGGCATCAACCCCGACCGGTCATTTTGCAACATCGAGGCAGCACACGGGTCCCAACGAGCCGCTTTTTGGGACAGTTTGGATTTTGGACGTTGGCCAGGTCCCCCAGTTATGCCCTTTTGCCTTTTTTTGGGGAGTGTTCCCGTACTAAAACAGACTACAGAAAGAAATTCGGGCACCTAGTTGACCAAGTCGTTGGGACCCGGGCCGAGTCGGGGGCGCGCCGACGCTGGGCCGAGTCGGCAGGAGAGGCCCGGCAGCCCCAGCGAGGCCGTGGTGCGCACGAAGAGCGCCGCTGCAGTGCTGGACCTGGACAAGCCCAGGGCCCCAGGGCCCCACAGTCCCTTTTTCATGGTCCAAATCTTGACTGCTATTGCGTTGGAACTTGAGACTTTAAGTTTTTGGTTGAAATCAAGTTGGGGTTTTCCACTAAACCCACAAGAAGTTAAACTTTTTGCAGAGGGATCAACAGCAAGAAATACTCCAGGTGGTTGGGTTCCTGTTTCATGTCCAAATACCCCAAGCAGGACATGCCATGTTTTCATGTCCAAATACCCCAACCAGGTGGACATGTCGAGGTATTCGGCCGGATTGGCTTTTTTGGAGCTTTTGGCTGCCCGAAAATCGATTTGATCTGAAACTCGAGCTGTTTCCCTCGCTTGTCCGGGGCGTCGACCCAAAAAGCAGGCATGTGGATGGGTGCGAACTCCGCCTCTCGCACCACGAAGTGAAACCATGGTTGAAACCATTACGTGGGTCGTTTCTTTGCGCGTTGGGGAATTGAATCATTAAGGTTGGGTTCTGAACGGTGGTGCGATTTCTGGGTTTCGCAGCTATCCACAGTGTGTATTACCCAGATCTTAAAATCTCCAACCTGCCATGAGTTTGTTAGGCGAATCGTTGCAACCGCCACGATTCAGCATGCGCTTGAGGATCTCCCACAAGCAGTGGGATGTAACCCTCTATGGCAACCACCGGATTCGATAACTTTCCTCAATTGTTGAGTCCTTCAAACGGAAGTTTTCGTATCAGAGTTACTTCCCCATGTAGGGTCATGTCTAGCAGGCCATACAGGAGGACACCGCAAAGTCTAAAACAGTACCACCACAAGCCATCTTGAATTGTATCCCCAAAAGGGTTACGGATGAAGATTTTGGGCCTCTGCCCTGCGTGGGGTGAACTTGAACGGTTTGACTTGCTTGCCCTTTCCAATCTTCGTGATCATCTGATTGAGCAGGCTGAACTGCTATCTACGTGAAATCCCAGATGTTCAGTTGCACCGTCCAATCCCTCGTTGTTTGAGTCTGCGACACACAAAAACCAACCAGCCAACCAAAAGACCTGCCATTTGTTTCGGCGAACGGGTCGCATGTCGCTGGTTGCAACCGGGGTTGCTTGCTGAGGGGTTGACCAAAGGTTTGTTTCTTCGGCTCGCAGGCACAGACATTTGTACTTGCAAGCGCTGAGCTAGATCGGTTAAATGCAAGCAAACTCATTGCTAGAGTATGGATCGGAGGCTGTGCGCAAAAGCCACATAATATGACTGATATTGGGGCCTTTTTTGACACACTTTGCTTCCGCCCCCATTGGGCGTACTTCCAGGATCTAGGGATTGTGAATATTAACACCTTGAAAAACACTGGACACGACAAGCAACACGTGCGGTCCCTACTGGGGGCAGTTCCGGGATTTGGGGTTCTTTTCTTGGTGGACTCAGGTTTTTATGTGTGCATTTGTTTGAGAAACCACAATTTCCAGACAAGCCAAACAGATAGACCATCCCAATGCAATTGGCCGCGCACTCAGGGCAACCGTGTTTGTTGAATGTTTTCGGGGCATGGGAGGGGGTGGAAACCCCACCCAAATTATACCGCCTTTCTTTTTTTTGGGGTGGGGGGGAGGGAGCCAAATGGTACAGTCGCACGGTCTATGATGCAGCCATGCTGCCACCCGCCCACCCCCACCCCCCCTTTCGCAGGGCATCAATCAGAGAACCGGACATGTTACACTTAAAGCTCGGACATGTTGAGCGTCTCTTTGGCGAGCTTTGCTTTGCAAACTTAAGCTTTTGAAAGGAGTTTCCTTTTCCAAATGGACCTCAAGTGTCCATCTTACCCCCCCCCCCAAAAAAAATGGTAAAAGTAGGGGGCCTGGGGGGTGGTCTGTTGAGGGTTGCCTGTTCTGGTTTTTATGTTCATCTCAAATCTGTGTTCCCCCTTATTCGTTTTTAAAAGAGGGTTTTTAGGGAGCTTATTTATCGTTTTCGTTAAGGTAATCATTTTGGTAATTGCCCCCCTTGTTCATTGTTGGGCTGGGGGCCGACATTTTTTTCATTTGAAAGAGTTGACCCTTTTAGTAGTTATCAAGTTCTGGGGTGTTGGTGGTGTATTTGTTTTGTTAGTGTTTTTCTCACTAATTTTCATTTATAGGTTAAAAGTTCAGTATAATTATAACATATAAGATTTTACATGTTATTATTATATTATGATTATAATTTCAGTTCAGGATAATAATCTAATTGGTTTGTCTTACTTCTTTCATACATCATTTTAAAAATAATATTAACATATCTCACTGTATTCTGAACATTAAACTTTTTACTTTCAATAAATAATTTGATATGTTCTTTAACATCTTCTCCTTTCTCTTGACTATAACCCAACATCCATAATATATCATCAATCATTTCATATTTTTTCTTACTGATTTTAAGAAACTGTTTAACACAATCGTAAGGTGGTATTTTATTTACAGTTAGAAATATTAAAATCTCATCTTCTACATTTCTATTATGTATTCTTTTTATTCCCAACAGACATTTGATTAAAAATTGATTATCTCTCCAAGTTTTACAATTTTTACATATGTCTTCTTCACCATCCATTGAATAATTAATAATATTATTCACAATTTCATTAGGTAAACTCAATTTATACAATTCCATATTTTCTTTTTTGAAGTGACAACAATCATAGCATTTTTTATCGATATAATTATTGATTCCATCACCGTTCATTTTTCTCTTAATATATAAGGTAATATTTCTTTAAGTAGTTTTGGCTAGGGGGTTGCTGGTCGGCTGGTCTGGGTTTCAGGTTTAATTTAAATGTCTTAACCTTCCTGTTAGATTATAAGACAATGTTTAATCATATTATAATTAAATATTATGATTAAGCCATGAAATCATTGTTTCTGTTATGTATAAATTTCAAATGTAATATGTTCTATAGGCGCTTTACAGACCTGTCATTCACATATGTTAGACCTTTCATATACATATGGTTGACCCATCATATACATATGTTCGACCTGTCATATACATATGTTAGACCCATCATATACATATGTTAGACCCCACATTATAAAGGAAATCCCATTCATTTTTTGATGATGACCCCCACATGATAGGATGATGACCCCCACATCATAGGATGATGTGCCCCCATTTTCGGGATGATGACCCCCACATCATAGTATGATGTTTCCCCATTTTCGGGATGATGACCCCCACATCATAGTATGATGTTCCCCCATTTTCGGGATGATGACCCCCGATGATGTACCCTCTCTTAATCCCCGCGTGTGCCATTCTCTTCGCCTACGTCGCTGTCGTCTTCTAGGTTCTGGAACGGGTGGCCGTTTTTGGACCTCTACCCTAAAACAAACTAACACATATGTCACTAATCAATTCAGAAGGGATTTTATATAGGTCATCTTGTTTATGTTTAATATATCCCTCACCCCAATCTGATTTTTTACCCGATGGCAACCGTTGAGTAGTTTCAAGATGTCGCCCATTCCTAATTTTCCCACAATCCCTATTACATAATGGTCTGGGTTTCCATGTTTCAATGTTAGTCCAAAGCCGTGTCCTTTTCCTATAGTTCATTCCATATTTGCAATAATCCACATCATAGTATTTCAAGCCACTCATGAAGGGTTGTTCCTTTAATAATCCTGTTTGAGGATTTTCTATTATCCAGTATTTAGGTTTAAAATAGTCTATAATTTCAAGGGTTTTTAAAACGATACTATTAGCATAATCAATCTTACGGACACCAACAGTTTTAGCACGACTGTATTCAGTGCATGGAGGAGATGCCCAAATAAAATTGAAATGGTTTCTGTCAAACTGTTTGTAGTCCCATTCAAGTATATCACAATTAATATCAGCATTTTTCAAATCCAATGATATAACATTATAACCGAGCGACTTCGCTACATGACCAACTGAAGAAGTCCCACTAAATAGTTCTAATAAGTTCATTGTGTATTAGAACTATTTAGATATTAATATTTTTTGTTTTTGTATCGTATGTGTTTCTCGCTTCTCTCGTGTTTTCTAATATCACTTTTTCTAACAACACGACCACACTCACACTCAATAGTTTCTTTTCGTTTTTCATTAATCGTTTCTTTGTTTTGGTGGTAGTATTCATGACTTTTCTTAGATATACGATCTTTGTTCTTTTCTGAGTATTCCTTTCTCATTTGCTGGTAGTGTTCTTGATTGTCTTCTTTCCATTCATTGAAGGTTCTTCCAGCAACACATCTATTAACACAGTCAGTATCTTTGATATGATAACCCTCCTGTTTCAGTAATTGTTCTCGGTTTTCACATGGGTAATTTTCTATTAATTCAATCTTACAATTGTCCATTCCATATTCATCGAACAATAAACGACAAGTCGTTTTAGTATTCCATTCCTCTGCTTTCTTATGATTCTGCCTATGTCGTGCCATTCTTTGACTTAAGTTCTCGCATGTGCTTCCTATATAGCATTTGTTATAACCTATATCAGTTATTTTGTAAATCTTTGCATTTGTGTATTTACTGCTTTCCATCTTATACTATCACAAACTATCTTCTCTTTAACGCAGTTTGTAATGACCGTAGGGTAAAGAAGTAAAGGCATCTAAGTAATGTCTTTTATTTTCAAAATTACTCAAGCTCTGCTTAACTTGAGACATTGAGAATAACTGATGGTTTCGACTACGAATAAAATTATATGTTATTTCATGCTTCTTGTTTTGAAATAATGCTTCGTGATAGTTTTGATACGACAGTTCTTTTTTCACCTTGTGCTTCACGACACCTTTTGATTTCTTATGTTCATCATCCTCACCATGTATTGTAAAAGCATATGACTTGGGTTTGAGTGCTATGAATTTGGTAATTACTTTTCCGTTGCATTCGTCCTTAAAAAAACCGAGTTTTTTCTTATTTGTTTTATCGTGACATTGGTGTTCTGGTGGGTAATCGCTAAAGTCCATATATTGATTTAATTCTTTGAAGTCCTTATAGATGTCCTCGGTG